AGTTTCTGAGTTATAAGCCTTCTTGCATGTCTAGATGCATCTTTTCCATATAGATTGGGGGTCTGGGGGGGGGGGGGCACTGATTGGTGAGCCTGATGGATAGAGCTTCATCAGAGCTAAACAGCAAAAAAAAAATAAAATCTGAAGCTCCTACGTTTAATAGTTTGAGTTACAAGCGATTTTACATGTCCTGACACCCCCACTTTGAAAGGAGCCCCCTCCTCAAATATGGGGTCTATCATAAAACCGTTGGCTGGCGCAGTGTAGGTCAGACTCATCTACAGTCCTGCCAAATTTCATGTTGATTGGTGCAGCCGTTTTGAGCTACAGTTGACCAAAAATCACCAAATAAATAAACAAACAAACAAACAAACAGTACGAAAACAATATGACTCCCGCTTCCGCTTCGCTTACGGGGGTCATAATAATCTGAAACATTCCGGTGATTTGAGTCGTGCTGAAATTTCTTCTTACTTTTTCAACCAATAAAAAAAGCTAATTATAAAAAGTTGATAAGATCTAAAGCTTGAATAAGGCGTCACATTGAGATGTTAAAATGTATATTAGACTGAAAGGTTTGAGTTATTTTTAAGGGTTTGTAAGATAAAAACACAGAGAGTAATAGATATTTAACAGTAATGTTTAGAAGAAACTCTGATCCAGATCTGAGAGCTGCTGGGTTCAAACGAGCACAAATTGCTCACACCTGCTGAACCTGATGGGAGTGTTTGTCCCGGCATATAAATGGTTCTGTTTGAACTGTGATGGAGCAGATAAGGCTGTTGAAGCCATTAGGAGCAGCTATATTAGGATTTCTGGGAGCCATCAGTGGCCTACCTGGATGGGAAGCCTGCGGCTGAGATGCGGATGGTTTCCAGCACGCCGCACGCTCTGAGCTGTTGGACTGCTCGCTTGGGATCAAACCTGCCAACAAACCCAGAACCACAATCAACATGGCTGCTCCAGATCACACAGAAACAACGGCTGCTCTGTCACAGGTCTGTAACCGGTAAGGACAACAATCGTTTCTGAAAACTGAGTTAACTACAGAGGCTGACTTGTCAACGTGATGTTATAGGAAAAAAATAAATCTCAGCAAGCTGAAAACCAAAAACACAAAACTCACGAGAAGGCCAACTTGAAGTCYTTGGGTTTGATGCAGCGGACGTAGTGAGGAGTGGTTGCATTCAGAGTCTCCATCAGCATTTGTAAAGAGTTTCGAAACTACAACAGGAATCACAAAGTAAAAGTTTTTAACTAAAACAGCATATTCTAACAAAGTGATAAAAGTCTCTTCCTGACTTGATGTAACTAAAATTTGATGCAAACAGATTGAAGTGAATCATGACCTCATCTCCTGCATGACTCACCTGACAGCCGACTGTCTTCTTGTGCTCCTTGCTGCTCGTCTCCCTGCTCTTGTCTGGTTTGATGCTGAGCCGGGTTCGACCTCCGGTACCAGGAACCTGACCCGTTGGACTGGTCGCCTTCTCCTCGTCTTGAAACAGCTCGACCAGCAGGTGGAACTGGGAACAGCAATGTAATTAAATGAAACTTAATAAATGTAAAGTGTCAATTCATTTGTATTTTTTTTTTATTAACAGTCCCCTCTTTCAGCCATGCTGTTTTTTTCTTTCTCCAATCCATACAGCAGTGGAGTCCAGTCCTGATCCTGATCCTAAGGCCACGATCCTGCATGTTTTAATTTCTCTGATTAAAGCACACTGGATAAACCCGTTCTCTTTTCAGTGTGCCTAGCATGTTTCACATCCCTTCTAATCAGGTGTTCAAGCAGAGAAACATCTAAAACATGTAAGATGTTGACCTCCTGGTCCAGGATCAGACACCGCTGCCATACAGGCTTATAAAGCAGAATGACTGCAGTGTACTTATTCAAACTTAACATATTAAAGTTATTCAGGTTAACAAGAGCTAAAACAGACATGACGGGTTAATCAACTTGTTCCCACTTCRTAACTGGGTGAGTAGATGTCACCTCATCAGCTTTTAGTGTTTAGAAAGTTGCTGACAGTGAAGTTAAAGAATGAGAGAAACGTGATGAAAAGGTTATTGTGACAAATTTGGTGTCCAACATGACTTTCATATAATTCTGCTGTGGTGGTTAAAGTGAGCCCAGGTTATATGATGCTGTGTCGTCCTGAGTTTAAAGCAGTGCCATGCTGCTGCTCCAACCAGCATACAACAGGACGGCCAGTTTAAAAAAAAAAAGGTGCTGCTTGCGTTGAATCACTGCAAGACAAAATGAACTTGCTCCTTATTGTCCTAGTGTCAGTGATGCTATACATGCAAACAAAAGAACAACTTCAGAGTGTAAATGGCTCAGAGCCACAGAAACAAAGGAGGAAGAGTTGAACTAAAAGGCCGACCAGCGTTGTTTACCTTCTGTTGGCAGGAAAGGTTGTCATGATGAAGACATAACACATGGAAGACAGTGACAAACACAGTGACATTAAAATGAAGGAAACTCAAAAGTTCTAAACCATGGATCACCCCCATCCATTTTAAAGGTTTAAGAACCCAWTTAAAACAAATCCAGATGAAATTAGTGAATGGAGGGGAGATGTGATTTATTTTCACTGACTTCCATACAGGCAAATCTGTTGAATAAAGTTTCCTCTGTGTGTCCACAGGGAGAAAACTTCTCGTTTCAAACYGATTAAATCACTGAATCAGGTTTTTAAAGCATTGCTTAGACTTGCAAGCAGACATGAGGAATGTCATGCCTCTTGCAGGTCTTGATGCAGTTTTCTATATGTTAAATATTCTGTATGTGGACTTCATGGTTAATAAACTGCAGCTATGTTCTGATATGCTGAGCAGAATTCACCCTGTCTTGTCACCTTGAAGCATTGTAATGAGTCAATCATTGAAAAGTTGACAAAATCACATACAATGGATACACCAGAACCAACAGAGGGTTAGTCTAGGAATAACAAGAATGGGATTAATTTTTGTTTCTTATGGACTTAATGTAAATATGAACTTTGGTGAAACAACCAGAAAACAATTGTGGAAAAATTGTGGAAAATCTGGAGAGTGATGTCAAAAGTGCAGGAGGATGGTCAAACTTGGTTTGTTGAAGAAATATGAAACGGTATCATGTGTATCCATAACAAATGTTCGAGAAATATTTGTTTTTGTTTTTGTTACATAAATATTATTTGAATTTATTTGATGGAGAAAAGGCGCAGATTTAAGATTTTTTTCTTCTTTCTGCTGCCTTTCATTTCATTTTGCTAGTCATTTGTATTTTTAAATTTGCTTTGTTTATTTAAATCAAAATGAATTAAAAAAATGAAAAATGAATAAAAAATGCAGAGAGGCTATGAAGACTGTTCTGTGCTAAACACTGATAGTAAAAAAGGAACAAAACAAACTCACACTAGTGTGATATTAAAAAAAATGTGATCAAACTAATTTAATTCTCACTTGAATCAAAATAAGATCTTATTTKTAAAACTGGAGTCAAGTTGTTGAAAATGATAACATTTTTAACCACTTTATGAARTCCCTCATATTCATCTGCATTATTTCATTGTTTTTTTCTTGGTATTTATCACAAACATTTCAAACTGGATCCACGATCCAATGAGCCAAACCAGTTCAACACTTTCTGATTGATGCATGTCTTGTTATGCCTCTTGGCCAGAAGAGGGCGCTACTTCCATGATCCTTCAGGTGACGTATCCTGTCAAACGGCCCAGCAGTTTTTTCTTTTTACTTGATAAGGCTCTGCTTAAATAGTTGCCATGATGAGATTTGGTCATAACTGCAATAAGTAACTCCTTCAGTCTGAGAAACATSTTAGAAAGAAAAGATTAAACACTTTCAGCTAAACGTTTGTGTTAGTGTTAAACAACACTAACAGGTTTAGAAGTCAGACTTCATTAAAAAAAGAGCTTGTGACTCAACAGTCTGTGAAAACACGGGGCCTAAAGTAATACTTTATATTTCTTATTTAAAAGAGATTATTTGTTTTCATACAATGATGCAAAGCCTAAAGAAARTGTTTCTGTATGTTGTGGCTGATTGCAATGATCACCACGCAGACAGTTTGTGTCTCACCTTGCTGGCTTTCATCACATTGATCTGTTCTTCYTTTACCGTGTCCTTGTTCTTCTCCAGGAAACCCTCACACTGGTACTCTACCTGAGAAACATCYGCCAGGGTTACAGCACTGAGATTTAAATCTTTCAGTAAAACTCTGRAGACTAACAATAGGATGGATTTGTTTCTTGACCTGTTAAAGTTTAATAATGTGTGGGGGGAAAAAACTTCAGCAGGCCCACCTTGTCTGCAAAATGTTGTATGATGAAGGCGCGGTTGGACATGCGTGGCTTCTCAAAGAGGGAACAAGTCTTCAGGTGGGTGTTGTACAGTTTCTGAGCCCATGAATCATCTGAACCTTTTGGCATCTGTTATCAGACAATTAGAAAAATGKGAAAACAATCACAGCCATGCCCTCATAGCCTGTTGTTTGTTTTATAAACAAAGTAAAACTCTTTACACATTTCTCGTCATACAGTATGCAGACAGATAAGTATCAGCAACGTGGTCCACCTCAAGAGTCAACAGTCCATAAAACAACCTTGTAGAAATTTGAACCACAGAAAGAGAAGCTGTTGGAGAGCCGGCTGAGCTTTGAAAGTGTCTAAATGTTGCAAATTTAAGCCCTCGGTGCAAAAACTGCGCTCGTTATAACAGTAAGTTTTGACGACGGACATTTTATTCACTAACAATACGTGTAGGCAGCAGAAACGACAAAAGTCAGTGAGAAGCAAATGCTGTGAAGCACAATGTGGGTGTGAAGCCCCGAAGCCCCTGTTCAATATGCAGCCGAGACAAACTTTACTTTTTATGCTTGTTTACATTAATATTAAAGTTTTTATTCCACCTACAGTTTTCATAAGTTTTCAGCTGGTGCAATAACAGATTATAGGTAAGATTTTATTCACTTTAAGCAGGGRTGCATTCAGAAATTAGGAAGTCAGTATTTTACCTACTTCAGACAGCAGTCAGAATAATCTCACTTTGAAGAATTAGAAAGAAATTTTTCTGTTATAAAGAAACAAGAGTTCATTCTAGTGCAAATTTTAAACCTAAATTGGACACATCATTTTTCATTTTTTCATATTTCTACAATAACTCTTTAGTTAAATGAGTTACAASAACACCTACTTTCCCTCTGGGATCAATAAAGTATTTTTGAATTGAACTGAATCAAGTTTTTTTTTCATATTTAAATCCTTCAGTTGGTCTCTATATAAAGTGGAACTGCGATGCTTTAGTCTGAATTCCTCCTTATTGTAACTCCACAATCTCCTCTTTCACCCCTTTTCTGAGGTGTGTCTCAAAGCAACTCATTTTGAGGCTGCCTCTTTAAATGCAAACAATAAGCTTCACCCTCCAGCTTCCAGACCGGTTCATTCCAGTTTGAAAGAGATACGGTTGTATAGCGATGCAGAAACATTTAATTTACAAATTATCTAAAAGATGTCAAAAACTTGTCCATCCAGCCTTACATGTTGGAGTCAGAGTCTGACCCAGAGCCAGAGAATGAAGACGACCAAACTATAGTTGGTAAGTTCAGACCTTATTTGGCAGTTCCATCTCAAATAATTTGATGTAATAGTTCAGAAAACATCATAGAAAATATAGAAAACTGATCTGCTTGAAAAACACGAACCAAAAAGAATATAAAGATATCTATGCAGCCCTGGGAGAGACTAAATTCAAATTTTCTGCCCTCTTAGAGACMCCACAACAAAATGTTTTTAATGGCTAAAAAAGTGGATGTTAAACATTTCTAGTAAATCAAGGTAAAGTCTTGTTAATGATTTTACAACTCATCAAGGGCTATTTATTTACATTGCCTTTGTTTTTTCTGCTAAACATTTGTGRAGCACAATCCTGCTGATTACCATCGCTGTGTTGGGATTAGACTGTCAGAACAAACAGCTGATTCAGAGATTCACCCAAGAACCACTAAACATGGAAACAAGGACGTTGCTTAGTTTGAACAAAAAACTGTCTCATGCAAGAGTGACAAATAATGAAAATATTAAAAACTGTTTATGCTCAAACTAAATACATTTTTGAGTTTTGCTTGTTTTAGATGCAGAAATTTACTCTTAATTTGCCACTGATTTGCTGATTCTACAATTACATCAACTCCCTGATTACACACACTTTCATTTTGACTTTTGTTTAACACAGAGGAGAGATTGACTCTTAAAACAAAAGACTTAAATGACATTTTCCTAAATAAATATACTGCACCTTGCACTCCTCATCCAGCAGGTCCAGGACGCCCATCTTGGCTTCTATGAGGTTGATGCAGGGCTGATTGTCATAGAAATCTATCAGAGTCCAGGGGATCTGTTCCTTCATGTATTCCTCCTGCTCCAGTTTAAACACATGCTGCACACAGACACACACACACACACACACACACAAGATGAGGATTTCACTTCTCCACAAAGGACTGAGAACAAATGTGCTCTCATGCCAGTGATCAGTAGAAACAATGATGTGGCTCACCATGTTGAATTGTTGTTGGAGTTTTTCATTTGCGTAGTTTATACAAAACTGTTCAAAGCTGTTGATTTCAAATGTTTCAAACCTTGTGAAAAAAAAAACAGAGGTAAACAAGTGAATTTAACCTTTTCGTAGATTTTGTTTGTAAATGAATGTGCTCTGCTGCACCGACGTACCCGTAGATGTCGAGCACGCCAATGAAGGAGTGCTGCTTAACACTGGTGACCAGAGCCTTGTTGACGTGCTCCACAATCCAGTTGAAGAGCTTGGCGTAGATATGTTTGGACAAGGCGTCTCGAGCGTTGGTGGCCTGAAGGCGGGAAAGGGGCTTGATGTACGTCTCTGTGGCCGTCTTCAGCTTCCTGTGGCACAGCCACTGGGACATGTCCTTGTAGGTCACACCCACCAGCTCACAGAACATTGTCAGGTGGCGATTGTTGGGCTAAAGCAGAAGGAAGACATATTTTCAATTACAGTACATGTCAGCAATACAATATGTGGGCAAGACGTTAAGTAGCACATGGGGAATTTTCTGGAAAAACTGTTTAATTATCAAACTATTATTTAGTGATTACAGGCAGTGTGTTTATAAGTGATAAATATCCTCTTTAATATTTAGTAAATACATTATCCTTACAGCAATAAGACTGCTGTCTGAGTCCTTTTCTTTTATCTCCACATTTCCCAGATGAAGAATAGCAGCCAAAACCTGGAACAGCCCCATCTGGTAGGACTCGTTAATACCTGCAAACAACAACAACACAAACCTCTGAGCACACACTGATTTATAAACAACAAAGTGTACGCCGCTTTAAGGGAGTAGACTAAAACAAAGCTCTCTTTTTCCAGCAGCATAAGAGTTAAAATACTCTGTTTACAGGTTAAAAAACACCTATTATTGAGGAGTTTTCATAAAACAACAACGAATTATAGTGTAAACAAATCATCAATTGCATATGTTCTGAAATGTGTTTCTAACCCAGCAGTGTGAAGGCGTGTCGAGTTGTGCAAAGCTCCTTGGAGTCATCCACGCCATCGATAACAGGATTGCGACCCTGCCTGGTGTACAGGAAGTCGTTTGCGTTGCCTGAAAAAAAAAAAKAYGACAAAAAGYAAATGTGAGAAAYAATAATTTTAAAGTGAATGCATTAAGCTAAGCTTTACACCCTGCAGCTTGAACCTGCACTTTCAAAACCTCAGTTATCAAGTCTTTAAATAAACAAACTGAAACTGTGACAAGAAAAGCTTGATTGTTCTTGCTCTGAGTGACCTCGCAACAAAAATCCAGATTAGATACATCGCAGACGGCAAGGAGTGGAAAGTCAAGTATTTTAACYAAGTGATCCAGGATTAAAGAGAATAAAACACGACAAGGCTGCTCAGTACAGAAGATACTGCGTTCTTACATGGTACTCTAACTTCTTGCACGTTTGTAAAATCMAATTCTCTGATAATAATTAACTCAAAGAGCAGCCTGGTGCGCATTCAGGCTGAGATCAATGCCAGAGAGAGCTTCAGGTTCCCAGAAATAAACTCAAAGGCACTTTTGTTCACGAGTGATGTTATCCCAACTTTCCACAAACAAGGTCTTTATACACATTTAGCACTTAATTATGGTATGTCCTGTTGCCTGGCAATAAGAGGCACTGACACGACTGTGACAACCGCTCCATTAACAGAGCCTGGAAGTCAGCAGGAGAGGAAAAGGCAGCTGCGTGTGTGTGTGTGTGTGTGTGTGTGTGTGTGTGTGTGTGTGTGTGTGTGT